ATTCTGGAATCTTTTCAATGTAAATAGCTACTTTTATTTATTTATTTTGCTTTATTTAAAGGCTACCTAGCCATCCATTAGGAGCCCTGGTGGTAGAGTGGTTATGCTTAGGGCTGCTGACCACAACGTCAACAGTTCAAAACCACCAGCTGCTCCGAGGGAGCAGAAGGAGGCTGTCTGCTCCTGGAAAGATTTATACTTCTGGAAACTCTGGCAGTAGCTCTACCCTGTCCAATATGTAAGTTGCTATTAGTCAGAATCAACCCGGTGGCAGTAGGTGTTTTAATCAGTTCATTGTATGAATGTATCATAATATTCAATCCATTTTATACAGAACATTTACATTGTTTCAGACTTTTGATTTTAAATGCACATCTAGTAATTTATTAAGAAAAAATGCATACTAGGAATTTTTATTAATAGCCATTAGAAAAAAATGCAAACACCCAAAATAATACTCAAACCAACCAAACTCAACTGTCACCAAGCTGATTCTGACTTAAAGTCACTCTACAGGACAGGGTAGAATTGCCCGGGGGGTTTCAGAGACCCTTTATGCGAGTAGAAAGCCTCCCCTTTCTCCCGCCGAGCATGTGGTGGTTTCAAACTGCTGACTTTGCAGTTGGCGGCCCAACACATTACCACTACACCACAAGGGCTTTGGCCCAAAATAACAGTCCATGCCATAAATCTTACCAGGCTTTCGATATTATAGAGAGTTTACATATAAATCACTAAGAAGAACGTCTTAAAGTTTAATTGTAATATAAAGAGGATTGTTTAAAGTCTAGAAACTGAGGAAGCACCTTGAGACTTAATTTGCAGGGACTAAACATGGAGGGACAGGGTATTATTACCTGTTTGGCGTTCTCGATGTATGCGGCCATGTACTCGTAGGCAGCAGCCTGCGCATTGACCCGGGTTTCCGTGCCCTCCACTGGCAAAGCGAAACTGTCCATGATGATCATTGTCTCGCCGTCCACCTTTCCAAGCATCAAGCCCATCACTTCCAAGTTGCCCCCTGACCTGGCGTGCATCACCATTTTCAGGAGGGCCAATGCTGAGATTTTGCAGTATTTAAAGTAATGGTGGCTACAAAAGAAGAAGAAAGCAAGGTGTAATCAACTTCCTTATATGCAGTACAGTTTCCAAAGCCATTTTCTGTTTGAAGACCATGAATACTGTCGAATCTCCAGTGATAGGAGAAGAGACAAACTGTAGATGGTAGGAAGGAAGATTAAAGCAGTAAAGAACAGAGTTCCTGCAGAGGGTTAGGGATGATACACATGGTACGGTTCTGAAAAGGATTTCCCCTTGGATGAGAGGAAAGGTTTGAGATACTTTTTAAATATGCCATTGATGTAGAAAGGAGGGATTTACATGACCACTTTCCAAAGACTTTTTCTCTGATACTGACTAAATCTCTGATACTGACTCTGGATGGATGGTTGTGTCTAACTGTTCTCAGGGCCAAACTCTGGGCCTGAGGATTAAGAATGAGGGCTCGGACAGTGACCTGCCTACACAGGCCTTGGGTCAATCACGTACGGCCTTCACCCCACTTTCCTTGTTTGCTGTTGGTGTTCTCAGGTGCTGTCAAGTCGCCCCTGACCCTCCATGGACAGCAGGATGGAAGACTGTCCGGTCCGGCATCATCCTCACGACTGTTACGTTGGAACCTATTGCTTCGGCCACTGTGTCAGCCCCTCATTCAAGGTCATCTTTTCCACTGACCTGCTACTTTACCTTGTCTGTAAGCAATGAAAGGGTTTATGTGAAGTACTCAGCACAGTGCTTGGTGTGTACCACAGTGTTATTTGGCCTTTATTAAAATTACTAATTTGTCTCTACAGCACTATTGAAAGATTCTACGGGCAAATTATGGAATGATGCAGGAAACATCAAAAGAAGATGGGCAGACACAACAATGTGAATGGGGGGGGGGGGCACGCGCTGTGGAGGCCCAAAACCCATCTGTAGACAATTGGACATCCCGCTACAAAGGGGTCACAAGGAAGAGACGAGCCAGTCCGTGTGTAGTATAGCACCGATGAAACATACAACTTTCCTCTAGTTCTTGAATGCTTCCTTCTCCCCACTATCATGACCTCAATTCTACCTTAAAAGTCTGACTAGACCAGAACATGCACACTGCTGCAGATAAGAGCCTGCAACACAGGGAATCCAGGACAGATACACCCCTCAGAACCAATAATGAGACTAGAGATACCAGGAGGATAAGGGTAAGGTGGGGGGAAAATGGGGGAATCGATCACAAGGATCGACATATAACCCCCCTCCCAGGGGGACGAACAACAGAAAAGTGGGTAAAGGGAGATAGCGGACAATGTAAGATATGAAAATAATAATTTATAATTTATCAAGGGTTCATGAGGGAGGGAGGGTAGGGAAGGGAGGGTAAAAAATGAGCTCATATCAAGAGCTCAAGTAGAAAGAAAAATGCTTTGAAAATGATGATGGCAACATGTACAAATGTGCTTGACACAATGGATGTGTCACAATGTATTGTGTCACAATGTATTGTGCTTGACACAATGTATTGTGATAAGAGCTGTAAGAGCCCCCAATAAAAGTATTTAATAAAAAAAGAAGGGACTCACAGTACCAAAAAGAGCTGGTGTACAACCACCCATTTCACCAGGAGGCACGTAATCAGGACCTAATGGTCCTGAAAGAAGTGCAAGCTACACTGAAGACATTAACAAAAAACCCCAAGTCTCCAAGAATTGATAGAAGACAAATGGAACAGTTTCAGCAAGTTGATGAAGGAAGCATTGAAAGCATGCACTTGTCTATGCCAAGAAATCTGGAAGATAGCCACCTGGCCAAACGAGCGGAAGAGATCCCTATTTGTACCCATTCCAAACAAAATCATTGACAAGCAAGTACAATTTTGCTGAAGATCATTCGACAATGTCAATGCAGCAGTACATCGACATGGAGCCCCCAGAAACTCAAGTTAGAATCAGAATAGGGCTTGGAAGGAAGGATATCATTGCTGATGGCAGATGGATCTTGTCTGAAAGCAGAGAATACCAGAAAGCAGTTTACTTGTGTTTTATGACTATGTGAAGGCATTTGATTGTGCAGATCATAGACT